CGTAGATAACTCCGCCAACATTGGACTCTGGAGACCGCTATATGTCACCCCATGCCCTGCCAACACCATACCTGCCGCATCACGCAGAACCATTCCACCGGCTGCATGGGCCCCGGCACGGACTGCACCATCAAAGGAGCAGATAACACCTAATGAAACCCCCTGGCCAGCTGGTACACCCACATTTTGCGGCAGAACCTGTGAGGCACCACCCCTTCCATCTCCTTACGGAACCTGTAACCACTCATTCACCTGAAAAAGGAACTCCTGTCGAAGAATAGATGGAAGGGTCTGAATCCCCTCAAATGCTACCGAGTTCCGACCCTTCCAAATCCTCCACAAACAGCAAACCAGCCGCACAACACGGGAAGGCGAAGCATCGCGATCTAGGAATTGCCGGAAAAAAATATTAAAACTCCCAGTGGGCAGTATATCCAACTCCGCAGCCAGCCCCGCAGCTTCCCACAACCCACGCGCCACCGGGCAATGCAAGAAGAGATGTTCAGTCGACTCCTCAATCGCCCAACAAACCGGGCATCGACCAAGAACTAACACCTTCTTCTCCCGCAGAGCCTCCATAGTTGGCAGGATTCTTTGTAGGATTTCCCACACAAAGAACTTGAGCTTGGGCTGGATTGGTAACCCCCACACTCTTATCCATAATCCCCGATCCATCGTGCTACAATCCGGTTTTCCAACCCATGCTTTTCGGGATAGCCTCTCCGCCAATCGATACTCGGACTTAACCGTATAACTCCCAGAGGGATCCTCCCTCCAAACAAGCCTATCCGGCATGGGTTCTCTTGGAAGAGGGATCTGCAAAATAGCGCCGACAGTTGCCGGGGTGAAAGCTACATCTAAACAATGCCGGCACCACTCCCCGGCATCCGGATCCATCAAATCCGCCACCATCGCATTACCCTCCACCGGAGCATCTTCCCGTAAGATAGGGAGAGAAGGATGCATTGCCGGAATCCACCCCTCGGACATTATCGGAATGAGGTCACCGGATCCCACCTGCCAGGCCATTCCCTGCCGAAGTAACTGGCATCCAAAGAGCACGCCCTGCCAGCCCCAAGAAGGTCGAGACCGCGTTGAGGCCGTGAAGATTGTCCCCTGCGGAAAATACTTGGCTTTATATATCTGAGCTAGCAAAGAATCCGGCTTCGAGTGAACGCGCCAAGCCACTTTCGCCAACAGGGCTTGATTGAACAACTCAAAGCGCCGGAAACCCAACCCTCCCGCATGCTTACTCCGACAAAGCTTCTTCCATGATATCCAATGGCTTTTTGGTCGCCCATCAACACACCCCCACCAAAAACGTGCCATATGCTTGTCCAATCTCCTACACGAAGTAGCGGGGATCCTGAAACACGCCATCGCATGTACCGGCAAAGCAGTCGCTACCGACTATAGTAGGGTCTCCTTTGCCGCCATCGATAAGTGCTTCTGTTTCCAACCCTGAATCCTCTGCAGAAGCTTTTCCTCTAAGAATCGGAAGGTTTCTGCCTTCGACCGAGCAACTAGGGATGGAAGCCCCAAGTACTTATCTTGGGTCCTGATCGCCCCTACCCTCAGAATCTCCGCCATTTCAGATTTCTCCTCTGCTAGGACATTAGCACTAAAGCAGACACTGCGGATTTAGATAGATTCACCTTCTGTCCACTTAGCGTTTCATACTCTTTCAACACATTGAGGAGGTCATTGCATCTTTGTGACGACGCTCTAATAAACAAGTAAGAGTCATCCGCAAAAAACAGATGAGATACCCACGGCGCCCGCGGGCTCACACGAATACCTTCAATTTTTCGCCTCTCACTAGCTGGCGAAGCAATGCTGCAAAACCCTCCGTACACAGGACAAAGAGTAATGGAGACAATGGGTCACCCTGCCTCAATCCCCTAGAGGAACGGAAGAACCCCGAAGGTCTCCCATTCATCATGACCGAGAAACTAGCAGAAGAGACACATTCTCTAATCCAACTAATCCACAATGGGCTAAAACCCAACTTCTTTAAGATCGCCAGTAAGAACGGCCACTCCACTCTATCATAGGCCTTTTCCATATCAACCTTCAGAGCCAAGTACCCCTTCTTACCTTTCTTCTTAATTTTCAAATAGTGCATAATCTCATGACCAATAAGAACATTAACGACTATTTGCCGCTCCCGGATGAAAGCATTCTGACCAGGTGAAACAATATCTGGTAAAAAGCTCGCCATCCTTTCAGCCATAATTTTTGATATGATCTTATAGACCACTTGACAAAGACTAATCGGTCTCAGCTGGCGCATATTTTCCACCGTATCCACTTTTGGGATCAACGTGAGCCATGTGGGATTGAAACTTCGTAAGATACGCCCATTCACAAAGAATGATTGTACAGCTGCAATCACCGAGGGCCCAACAATGTCCCAGAAGCTCTTAGAAAATTTGCCAGTAAACCCATCCGATCCTGGAGCCTGCGTAGAGCCTATAGAAAAGACCGTACGCCGGATCTCCTCCGGAGTCACTTCTGCCGTAAGGCTAGTGTTCATCACATCTGTGACTTTCTGATCAATGGGCAAGGAATTTACCTTGTCCCAAACATCAGTCCCCTCAGACCCCGTCGTGAATGGATGATAGTAAAATCCAACAGCTAGGTTGGCCTTGGCATCCTCTTCCACCACCCATTCACCATCCTCATTCTATAATCTCTCTACAAAATTCCGGCGTCTCCGCGCTCTTGTGACAGTGTGAAAATAAGAGGAATTTTGATCCCCCACCTTCAACCATCGAACCCTGGATTTTTGACACCAGTATTTTTCCTCTTCTGCCCATTTTATCGTGAGTTCCCGCTCCAAACTATTGACCCGATCCCAGTCGATTGGGTACTCTTCCTTTAGCGCACCAATTTTGGTCTCCAAAGTCCGAATTTGCCTCGCAGAATTCGAGGTACCCTTTCGGCTCCAACTATGGAATCGGTGTCGCAATCTCTTCAAACGAGTCCACAATTGGTACATCGGAGAGCCCTGCACCTGCTCCCCCCAAATCTCCTCCACCATAGGCTTCACTTCAGGGTTCTCCACCCAGCGGGCATCAAAGCGAAAGAGAGATCTCGCCACCCTTGTGTGGGTCTTGTCCGACACAATAAGGGCCCTGTAATCCGACCCAAGGTCCGTCCCATGATTCACCATCGTCTCCGGGAAATTCTCCACCCAACGATCCGAGGCTAACGCTCTATCCAACCGCTCCTGAATACACGCATTCCCCATTCGTCTATTAGACCACGTGAAAGGATTCCCGCGGAACCCCAAATCTTGAAGCCCTAACCCGTCAACGAACGAACGGAACAATTGTGAATGAGCCGGGACCCATGGGACTCCCCCCATTTTTTCGTCAGAAGCGAGGATGCCATTAAAATCTCCTACCATCAAGTATGGTTCTTGCAATCCCGCACAATATCTGCGTAACTCATCAAACTGGATAACACGATCTTGCTCACGACAACTAATATAGACAAACACTATCACCACTTTTATTCCATTAATTTCCAAACCGACCGAAATAAAGAAAGAAGAACTCGACAACACTGAGGCACCGCTCTCAGGGGACCACGCTACTGCTAACCCTCCTGATGAATCAACAACATCCACTAAATGAAAAACAGAAAACCCAAGACCACGCAATCTACGAGACACCACCCTACGACGCGAACGCGTTTCCGAAAAGAAAACAACATCAGGATTATTGACACGAATGACTCCTAAGATTGACTGGAATGTGATGGACGGCCCAATCCCACGCACATTCCAGGCTAACAGCCTCATTTATCACCCTGGGGCCACTTCCGGCTGGCTTCCTCCACCGTGTCATTTTTGTCTTCCAGCTCCTCCCCACTTGAGTCCTCCAAGCACAACTTCTTCACCGGTGTCGGATCTTCTGCAAGATCCGTAACCATTGCTGCAGCTCTCTTTTTTTCTTCTACTTCATCCGGGTCCGGCGCCACCATCCGAAAGGCCACTTGTTTCCACCCTCCTTCTTTCCTAGACACAATTGTTTCCACCCCCAGCTTCTCCTTCCGACTACCCACATCTTTCTTCGGCAAGGAAGAACTCCCAGCTCCGTCTTTCATCCCTGGCTTCCCGCTCGGCATCCCACCTCCAGCTCCCTGCTTCCCTCCTTCCCTTTTCCAGCACCGCCAATCTCTCCTTGCTTTTCCCCTATCACCATCTTCTCAGAGTTAGGTTTTCCCTCCTTATTCTTGTCCCGAGAGCCACCCTTATCCTGGCTCCGACTTCCGCTAGCCCCTCCTCTCTTTCCCTCCGTCCCTGTATTCAACCCGCTAGCAGCTCCCTTCTTCTCTCCCTTCGCCTTCTTTTCCTTGCTCCCATTGCTGCCCTCAGCAGGTAGTGCCAAGACTACCCTCCTCGTACCTTCGACCTTCTCTTGAGCCGCCATATCCAACTGAGCTTCCTCCGCATTTCGTTTCTTCCCTTGGGTGATGGGGTTTACCCACACCGTCTTCTGCTGTGGAGCTCCATGGATAGGCACCAATCTTTCATTCAATCTATGGCCTGATTCCTTAGTAGTGAGCCCTGGACCAAAATATTCCTCCCCTGTAGGAGGTGGAAATTCACAATTTTGCCCCAGTATGGCCGAATCTACCACAATGATAGCAGTATAGAGGAAGATGTTCATACACCAGTGTGAACCAGAACTTCCCCACACTCGGATTGCTCGCAAACAGCTGAGACTGGAGTGGTTCCATCACATTCAGCTTCACCCTTGTTTTAACAAAGTGACCCGGGACTCCTGAATGCCAAACAGCCCTGCATCCAGTACCGTGCCAAGCTTCGCCTCAGCCATTCGCCTTCCAAACGCAATGGTTCGACAATGTGAGGGAATTCCCCACATTTGAACCCAGAAAGGAGCCATTGCCAACGACTCTACCACGTCTGGGGTGATTGGTTCCCATGCTTGTAGCTGTAGGATGCGTTCCTTCACCTGCCAGGGAGTGCGCTAAAGGACCCAGTCTTTGTCTCGCTCATCATCAAACAAGAACTGGAGAACACCCAGCTCCGCTTCAATGACCGTCACGTTACCAGAGCAGCCCCATTCTCCCTGGACAATCTTCTGGATGGTCTTCAAACTCGGCGGGTTCTCCATAAACAGTCGCCCGATTAGGCTAAGCTTAGCCCTTCTCATGCTGTCTTCCACATCAACCAATTCGAATTCGACAATCTGATCCACGTCCATTGGCTCTCCCGCATGGTTCCGATGCTCTCAATCCCCTGAAAATGAAGAGTAAAAATGCGGAACAGGGCAATGAAACACAGAGTACCAATGTGTGGGGCAAGCCAAAAGAAATATAGCCTCAGAATAACCATCTGAATCATGGTGATATTACCTCGTTCACTCGGTATTCCCAGCTCTTCTGGTATAAGCTTCCCTTTCTCAGTATTTTGTAAGCTCTCAGTTGCAGGGTCGAGACGCCGATCTGTGGTAATATATACCCATTTTGGTGCCAATCTCATCACCGTATCCACAACCGACTCCTGATTTGAGATTATCCCCCTTTTCTTTTTTGCGATTTCATCCCAACGGCGGATTTGGGTATATTGCCATAGTTTTCCGTTTTTTTCCGAAAACTCCCAATCTTGAGCGAAAAGTTCTCCTTCTGGGTCTTCGCCTTCTACACAAACTCCTTCTTCCCTTCCCCATCTTCCGATTATCTCTGCTTGGATTGCTTCTTTTCCTTGAATCGGCCGTCGATTAGATGTCGTATTCCTCCTGATCTCTGCCATAGAGATTCCAGCGAGGATAAGAGATGAGAGGCGCAGCAGAAAGCGGTAGGGTTTTTCGAGGACAGAGGACAGAGCGTTTTGCTCCATTTTTTTTCTCTTCCAAGGAAATTGCTCCCCAATAGGTAGTTTATGTTTGGTTTTTAGTTAGGTTTTTTTTTATGGATAGTTAGGTGTGATTTAATAGAATTCGAATCGACAATTTTCAGATTCAAGATCAGTATTATTACCGTTGGACCAACCCCTTATTTGAGACACTAGAACAATTTTAAAACTTTTTTTTGTAGGTCGAGAATTTTTTTCAAACCTTTAATTGGAGGTACTATAAAAATAATAATTTTCAATGGGCTAAATTACACGTTTAGTCACTCAAATTACATAAATCTTTCACGTTTGTCACCCGAATTACTTTTCTTTCTTATTAGCCACTAACTTCAGGAATTGTTTCACCGTTAGTCACCGACCGTTAGTCTCCGTCAAACTCCGTTAACTCCGTCAATTTTTTGCTGATGTGGCAAACAGAACTGCTGACTAAACCGTTAAGCTAATGACATGTCAATTAAAAAAAAAATGTGACCCAGCCTTTATGTTCTTCTACGCTTCCCCACTCTACTTCCGTTCTTCCATCTCCCCATTCCAAGTCCCATCTCCCAACTCCCCTTCTTCTGCTTCTTCCACCTTGAGACAGACCTATGTACCCCCTGTTCAGTGCAACCTCAGCGAGCTTTGAACCAGAATCGACTCCGTCAAGAACACCCAGAAGATCACTAAGGCCATGAAGCTCGTCGCCGCCGCAAAAGTCAGTCGCCGAGGAAGTCGTCGTCAACGACCGCCCCTTCTCCCAAACACTAATCGAAGTCCTCTACAACATCAACGAGTAGCTCCAAACCGAAGACGTCGATGCCCCGCAGACCAAAGTTCGTCCGGTGAAGATAGTCACCATTGTGGTCGTCACTGGAGACAGATGGCTCTCCGGCAGTTCAACAACCAGATTATTAAAAAGGCGGAGAGTTGGATGACGAAATTGAAGGCTCTAGGGATTGAGCAATCAGATTATTCATTAGACAAAAACACCATTCAAACCAATTACCGGAGGAGAACTCCAAATCCCATTTGCTGCTACATTCTTTACTATGTGAAAACCTCAACATCGCTTAAAGTTAAGTAAAACAAAGTTATTGATCAATTAACAACATATATGTAATTATAATAATTATCGGAAAGACGTCGGGGTGGTCGATGGTCTGGACGCCGATGTTGAGGTCGTCGACTGCCGCGAAAGAAGACGAAAAGACCGAGAACTTAGAGAAGAGTAGAAGTATAAGTAGAAAGTGACAAGATATGAGATTAATGGAGCGGCGATGATGGGTTTTTAGTATAGAAGCTGCCATCTCGATCTGGCTGGTTTTGGGGAAGAGGAGATCTAATATGGAAGGAGTTTACAGCTCTAGGCCATGGCTAAAGTCGAAGAAGAAGAACAGAGAGAGAAAGGTGCACATTTTTTTTTTAAATTGACATGTCATTAGCTTAACGGTCTAGTCAGTAGTTCTGTTTGCCACATCAGCAAAAAATTGACGGAGTTTGACGGAGACTAACGGCCGGTGACTAACGGTGAAACGATTTATAAAGTAAGTGGCGAATAAGAAAGAAAAGTAATTCGGGTGGCAAACGTGAAAGATTTATGTAATTTGAGTGACCAAACGTGTAATTTAGCCATTTTCAATGTTTTAAAGTATGATTGTTTAGATTTTTTATATTGTAGTACAAAGTGAAATTATAATTAAAGGTATGGTAAAAAATCAGTTTGTACCTATATATTTTATATTAATTTCTTATGACAACCAACTGAATTTGTACCTTTTTATCATGTTACAAACTGAACTTGTACCATAATATAACTGAATTGCTATTCGTCGCCCTAAAATTTAAAAAAAATCGCCCTAAACCATATTACAATAACGTTTATACCCTATTTTCAATCCCTAACCCTTAACTACCCCGCCAGCCAAGTTCCGGCGCCCCGCGTCCGTTCACCCAACATCCACATCTCACATTCCCCATTTGAGTCGGAGATCGAGATCTTCCTCCTAATCAAGTCCCCCAATTCTAGTCAAGTAGTCATTGACCTTACCGTTAAGAATAAGAGTTGGGTTAGCTAAGATATTCATGGGAGCTTGGAATCGAACTGAATCATGATCCTAACCTAATGGGATGAGTGAAGCAGGATGAGGATTTGTTTTGGTTTGAGGTGATGGAAGAGATCCGAAAGTGGGAGGAGGACAATAAAGCATTTTTTTAAAGCTAATCGAGTCCCCCAGCCGGCCGACCTGTTGTAGCTTTTTTCCCCCTTGATAATCGCCGGCGACGGACCGACCTGTCCCAAGCTCCCCGGCGACGGGTTTTACCTCACCGCTGGTGAAAGTAAAATTTAACAAATAAGGACATTATTGTAAATTTAATATAATTAGGGCGACGAATAGCAATCCCCTAATATAAAGGTACGAATTCTCTTATAGTGCAAATTAAATTTATAATTTGAACATTAAATTTTTATTTTAAAACAATGATATTCTTTTTTAGAAAAAAACACCGATAACTTAAACCATAGAGAAAGGCTACTATAAAAAAAACCCTCTAATTAGATGGCATAGACAAACAACATATCACATAATCATCTATAAAATATCTCGATTTTTTTACTCCATATAGACTGCTTTGTTTTTGTGAAGTGAACAGTGAAGAATATATTACATCCCAGGGTACACCAAATTTGTAAGAAGCGAAGAGATATCGGGCAAGAAAGGGTTAAAAGTTAAAACTCATAGAGAGATTAGTATCCAATCTATGAATTCAATACAATCAATTTACTAAAATATTTAATTAATTTAATTCACTTTAATTCATTCTATTTGATATAAATAAGATTGGATTAGTGGATTCATAGATTGTTGATAATTACGATTTAGTACCTATACATTTTATATTTTTGTACCTAAAATTTTTTATTTAAACAAAAATATCATTTGAAAATTACATTTTGCTATCTCAAAATTTTGTTATGTCAAGTAATAAAAATGTGTAGAGTTGGCCATTTGGGATCATATCAGGAATAGAGCCACAAATTGAAATATCGTATATCCCTTCGGGTAATTCGAGCTGACAAATCCCGCCCGATCTGCAGAAATCATGATGGAGGACCTAATTGTTGTCAGTTATCCCCTATAGGTCATCAAACGAGTAACTGTGTAGTTTTTTTTTATGTAAAATAGTATAATGCAACAAAAGGAAAAAAGAACACATGAACTTTTTTAACGTGGTATTGTCAATATGACACGTTCACAAAGAGCATCCCTCTCAGGTTTTATCTTTTCTTATTTCCTTGACCTTAAATGTAACATACAACCGCATATATATAGGGTTTTATACTACAAACCCTAAAATAGTTAATTATATAATGACCCTAATCTCTATATAATCAACACATTTCCACAAATTGATGTGGGGATCTCAACACTAATTTGAAAGACAGGTACCAATGTATGTTAGAGGCAACAACTTTAGTCAACAAATATGCAGTATGTTCCTCAGTCGATAGATAGCTAAGCTTAATCATCCCTTCTGTTACTAGTTGTTGAATATAGTACACATGCACTTCTATATGTTTCGTACGATCATGTAGCGGTATAATGGCAGTCGCCGCATATAAAGGGATTCACTAAATCCTTATCCACAACCGCAGTAGCTGTAAATAAAAAATTTGATGAAATTTCTTTGATGATATAATCTCGAGTAATAAATTTTCCAACCATACATGTTGATTAAAGATTAGGAAGATATATATTTGAAAAAAATATATTAGGAAAATGTATATGCATTATTTTACCATAAATAGGGAGATACATCTCTCCATTCTCTGCACCTAAAACAAAGAGTTTTATTGTCTTCTCATAAAACGTTACATACAAGAAACACATGACAAACTAAACATAGAAACCTTAAACGTGCTTATCATGAATAGTGGGCAGTTACTTTGCATGTCACCCACTTGCCAAGAAAAGCATGATAAGATAGGAAACCTAATAGAACTTATATGGTACATTCTTTACCATCAATATATTACCTTCCCACTATATAAGAGTCGTCTAAGAAGTAATTCGCAAAAGTGAACCTCAAAATTGAAACTCAAAGAATAGAGAGAAAAGATAAACACTCTGTAAGTCATAGTTATGGGCACAATAGCTATGGTGGCTTTCGTGGCATTGGTGCTATTGTTGGCTAGTGAAGATAGTACTTGTTCAGCAAGTCCTTTCACGGACTGTTTTAATAAGTGCTTAAAGGATTGCTCCAAGATCTTTGTTGATCCTTGCATACAACCATGCTCAAAGAAGTGTGGACCTGACAGGATCCCCGAACGGCGTCAAGAAATTCAAGGTGAATTACACAAGAAGAACAAATAATGTGAGGAGACCTCATGATTATTAGAGGACTTATTAGTCATTATATGCATTATCCATATTTCTTTCTCTTGATTTTGAGTTATTTTCGATATCGAATAAAATAGACGCTCATGTATACCGTTTGTTATATTTGTTCTGCATTTTAAACAACTCCTAATTGAGACCTCATGTCAACCGTATGAAAATTCCGTTGTTCAATTTTGGGGAATATGATGAAAATGAAAATCTAGAATCTACAGAATTTTTTTTTGCCAAAACAGAATTAAGAAAGAAAACCAAATTGAAATCCCCATAATCGACGACGGCAGAAAGAGGGAAACTGGCAACAACGGCGCAAAACAAAAACAATGGGTTTTCTTCCCTTAGATTTGTTCTGTTTCGTTTTATGGTCGATCCTAATTCTTAATCCTATCTTTCTTGATTTTGCAGGTTTTGAGAGGTCGAATCTAGGTAGGTGGTACTCTGCATTGGGTTATAAATGTTTAGGACCATATTTGGTTTCAAAATTCTTGTTGGTGTTTATCTAGCAAAGTTTCATTTTATTTTTTATCCTGATATCTTGAAAACCATTTGTTTTACTAAGTTCTAAATGACTCTAAGCTAACTGAAAGTCATGGCCAGTACTGCTCATGATTTCATATTCAA